TGAAGAACAACAATAAAACAATCATTCCATTTTAGAGAAGCTTTCAACACCTTGAAACATATACACATATTATGGGATAACTGCTAAATTATTAAATAAGCAAAATGATACAGTATCCTAGCAATGAATATAGAATAGGACTCTGAAATAAAATTGCCTGATTTCAAATCCTAGCTCTGCTGTTTAATAGTTATATAACGTAGGAAAATAATTTAATCTCTAGGTGTTTCCATTTCTCCATCTATCTATAAAATACAGATAATAATAAGAATTCATACCTAAAAGAGAAATTTTAAATATTAAAGGAGGTAATATCACATTTATACAGAATAAGCACTAAAAAAGGCTTTTCCCCTCCTTTTCTCAATCTAAACAGAATGAGTCATACATTTTGGAAATAAGAATGAAGACCCCAAATTTTAAAAATTTGTATTAAAAATCCTAAATTCACTCATGATCATAATTACCCACCTATCTAGCACCATCTGCAACCTAAGCATAATCTAATTAAACATTTAGATAAATAAAAGTTCTGCTGTCAAGGTCATTTTACCCCAGTTGTTTCAAAAGAACAAGAAAAAAAGAATGAAACACAAGGATCTTTTCTTAAAAGATGTACAAAAAGAATTTAGAATCACTGTATTAACAAAATGATTGTTTTCAACAGCAAATTTACTGCAAAAAAGAAAAATGCAATAATGCAAGATTAATTGCGAAGTTCAAATATCTTAGTGTTTTTAGGATACTGCAGTTAAAGTGATGACGCCATTCAAAATCACCAGCATTTGTTACATGTAAAACTGCTGTTGTCCATAAATGAAGACATTTCAACTGTCTGTGGTCAGTCTGGAACTAGTTATGCTCTAACATAATCCAGCCACTCAACTCTCTTGGAGATTATTTTATTCTCCTTCCTCATAAAGAAATTAACACAGGTGACAGAATGTAACAAAAAAGTCAGCAGTGTAGAAGGCTTTTTATTTTCATTTTGGCAAATGATCGTATACAAATTAACAAACACTGAAATCAAGATGATTTCATTTATTTGTTCTGAATGTATCTGATTAATAGGCATTAACTTTGTTGATGGAAACAGGAGAACTCTATTGTTATATACAGATTAGAAATGTAAACACTTAGCATTTCCCACAACTACTGACTTTCCAAATTATCTGGAATGTTATTGCAAACGACAACGTGAGCGCCAGAGGTTAGGTAAGCAAAGAACTCTACTGCCCCCTAATGAAATAAACCAAAAAAACCCCTCAGAAATCTTGAGGTATCTGTGTAATAGTAAAATAATCTTACTTCGCTAAATGCAGTAGACAAACACTAAGAAAACTGACTGAAAACAACTTGAATATCTACTCAAAATACTATAGGAAAAACTAGAATCATCCACTTTCCATGATAAAATTAGTAGCAAAACAGGAAAGCCTTGAGACAGAAATGTTCTAAGAAAAACGAGGACAGTTCAACAATGTTATCTAACATGATAGCAATTAAAACTTCACTGCAGGCTACACTTTTCATGTGTATGTTGGAAGGGAATGAGAAGAAAGATTCTTAGAAACCACACTCATCAGTGAATTACAGTAAGTTTTCAGTTCAGCAGCTCAAAAGTAAATACTATCAAAATATTCTCCTAGAGTTTGCACTGAGTCTAATCCTCTCAGAATTATATTAATGTATGTGTACTTTCAGGATAACTGTTATAAAATGTACATTTAAAAGAATTTTACTTAAGGCTTCCTGTTTTAAACAAATGCCAGTTTCTTTAGTATGACAACTTTGTGCTCTATGATACTCTGCATCATAAACTAACCAGTGATAACTTTTTTTAACATTTTTTATTGATTTATAATCATTTTACAATGTTGTGTCAAATTCCAGTGTTCAGCACAATTTTTCAGTCATTCATGGACATATACACTCTCATTGTCACATTTTTTTCTCTGTGA